TTCCTTGCCATGGAAGCAAAGCAAACAATATGGAAAGGCTGCATAGTCTTAGTGCATTGAAAAAACAATTCAAGACAAGATTCCAGTGTTCTGTCTCTCTCACTATGCCTTCAATTTTCTATCTACTTTCCTTTCTCTCATACCCCTCTCATTCCACTTCCCATTTTTAGAATTAAAATTCAGAAATGAAAAGGATGTCAACAGTGGCAGGTCTAACAATTGAATCTAAAAAAGTAAAGTCACATTTTTACTGACACTTTGATTTAGCTAAGAAGAATTGGCTTTGTTAAACTGTTAAGTGGCCAACATTTTCTGTAAGCTGAATGAATAAATCTACAGTACAAACATTTTGAAGAAATTAGATTTATAGCATGTACACAATGTATAAATGTTAATTATTTTCCTTATGACAAAAAAATCCAAATACCAACTTAAAAATGCCAGTTTTCCAAAATTCTCTTAGGAAATACAAAAGATAAACGTCTATAAAGACCATGACCAAATAGAGAGCGCTATACAACAAGAAATAGACATTCTTATTTTATAACCTAAGTGGAACATTATGAAGTCTGATTATATAAGGATCATCGAGAAACTGCCAAAAGAGACAGAAATCATGTTGACCATATTCTCTGGCCACCATGCAATGAAACTAAAAATTAGATACAATTAAAAGGTTAATATATATGTCAATTATATCTCAATAAAAGTGGGAGAAAAATAGTATCTATAAAAACAAAACAAAGAGTGAACTATAAAAATAAAACAAAAAGTCAGAACAAAGAATGAATAAAAGAGATACAAAAGGATAGAAAATGGAGAAAAGAGTCAAAAAGAGGAAAGAGCAAAAAGATCTAGCACATATTTAATGGGAATCCCAGAAGAAAAGGAGAGAGAAAACATATAGAAGCAACACTTGAAGAGATAATGGGTGCAAATATTCTAAACCTGACAAGAGACATCAAACCACAGTTTCTAGAAGCACCAGGAATTGTTAAGATGGATATAATAAAAAGAAAAATACACTTAGATACAATATAGTAAAGGTGATGACAATGCTAAACAATAAGAAAATCTTAAAAGTTCCAGCAGAAAAAAGAATACATACGAAGAGACAATAATTAGACTGAAAAAAAAAAAAAAAGCAGCTAACTCCTGAAGTCCAAGAACTACTCTGATGCTTTCAGCTAAGTTATACTATTGTCTTGTTGAACATAAAAATACCTCACAGAATAATCAACTCAGACAAGGTACTGTGTAACAAAGTATCAAATTTGACTTTCTGCCACTAAATGAATTCACTATTATCAATTCTTTACCAATTGTAAGTTTATCCCAGCTTCAATGTGCCTTCCCTATTAACTAGTTAATATTTATTAATATTAATTTCTTAAGATGGCAATCCTGAGGTGAATGAAAACAAATTACAATATACAAAAACATGGAATGTAGCAAAAGCATGAGAAGGAAATTCATAGCTATAAGTGCTACCATTAAAAAAGAGAGCAAATCAATACCTACTTTTACACCTTAAGGAACTAGAAAAATGAAGAGCAAACTAAACCCAAAGCCAGCAGAAGGAAGGAATAAATATTAGAGCACAGATAAGTAAATATAAAAATAGAATAAAACAAATAAAAAGTTGGTTCTTTTTAAAAGATCGACAAAATTAGCAAGTTGACTAAGAACAAAAAAGAGAAGATACAAATAATTAAAATCAGAAACAAAGGTAAGGACATTAATACAGACCTTAGAGAAATTAAAAGGATTATAGGAGAATACCATGGACAATTAGACATCAACAAATTAGATAATCTAGATGAAATGGACAAATTTCTAGAAACATAAACCTGACTCAACAATAAATATAAAATCTAAACAGATCTTTAACAGGTAAAGAAACTAAATCAGGGTCGCCTGGGTAGCTCAGTCAGTTAAGCATCTTGACTTCAGCTCAGGTCATGATCTCGTGGTTCATGAGTTCGAGCCCCGCATTGTGCTCTGTGCTGACAGCTCAGAGACTGAAGCATGCTTCAGATTCTGTGACTCCCTTTCTCTCTGACCCTCCACTGCTCACACTCTATCTTTCTCTCTCAAAAATAAATAAACCTTAAAAAAAAAAAAAAGAAACTGAATCAGTAATCAAAAACCTCTCAAAAAGGAAAAGTCCAGGATCAGATGGTTTCAGTAATAAATTCTACCATTTAGAGAATTAACACAGATCCTTCACAAACTTCTAAACATGGAAGAAGAGACACTTCTTTTTTTCTTTATTGTTTATTTTTGAGAAAGAGAGAAAGTGAGCTGGGAGGGTCAGACAAAGTGAGACACAAAAGACCTGAAAGTGGGCTCTGTGCGTACAGCAGACAGCCCAATGTGGGACTCTAACTCATGGAAGAATGAGATTGTGACCGGAAGTCACTCAACTGACTAAGCTACACAGGTGCCCCATGAAAGAGGAAACACTTCTTAACACATTTTATATGCTAGCATTACCATAAAACCAAAGCCAGACAAAGATACTGAAAGAAAATTACAGCCCATATGAATACAGATGTAAAAATCTCAACAAAATGCTACCAAACTGAATCCAACAGCACATTAAAGGAATTATATATTCAGCCAAGTGGGATTTATTCCAGGAATGCAAAGATGGTTCAATATAAGAAAAGTAATTAATGTAATACATCATATTAACAGACCAGAGGAAAAAAATACATTAATACTTCAACAGACACAGAGTACTTCATAAAATCCAATACTGTTTCATGACTAAATCACTCAGCAAACTAGGAAAAAAAAGGAATTTCCCTAAATAATAAAAGACATCCATGAAAAACCCAGAGCTAACAGTATATTCATCAATGGTGAAAACCAAGCTTTCACTCTAAGATCTGTAAAAGACTGCCTGCTTTCACCACTGCTATTTAATACTGTACTGGAAGTCCCAGCCACAGCAATTATATACAAGAAAAATAAATAAAAAGCACCCAAATTGGAAAGGAAGAAATAAAACTATCTCTATTTGCAGATGGCATGATTTTAATTATTTTGAAAATCTCATAAACTCCACATACACACAAAAAAACCCTACTAGAGATAATATAATAACCCAATTCAAGCAAATTTGTAGTTATAAGATCAACATACAAAAATCTGTTATGTTTCTCTAAGCCATTGATGAATGATCCAAAAGGAAATTAAAATTCTATCTACAAAAGCATCCAAAATAAAACACCTAAGAATAAAAGTAACTATGGGAGTAAAAGGCTTATATATTTAAAATGACAAAACAATGGTGAAAGAAATTAAAGGAGGTGTAAGTAAATTGAAAGACCTACCATGTTCATGCATCTGAAGGTGAAATATTGTTAGAACGACAAAACTTCCCAAAGTGATCTACAGATTCAGTGTAATCCCTATGAAAATTCTCATGGCCTTTTTTTTCCCTTTCAGAAATGGATAAGCTGACACTCAAATTCATATGGAACTGCAAAGGTATCTGAAGAGCAAAAGTAATATTGAAAAGAAAGTAGGAGTACTCACTCTGATTTAAGAACTTATCATAGGGGCGCCTGGGTGGCTCAGTCGGTTAAGCGTCCGACTTCGGCTCAGGTTATGATCTCACAGTTCGTGGGTTCGAGCCCCACGTCAGGCTTTGTGCTGACAGCTAGCTCAGAGCCTGAAGCCTGTTTCAGATTCTGTATGTGCCTCTCTCTGACCCTCCCCTGCTCATGTTCTCTCTCTCTCTCTCAGAAATAAATAAAACATGAAAAATTTTTGAAAAAATAAAATAAAAAAAAAAATAAAAACTTATTATAAAGCTATAGTAACCAGTGTGGTTCTGGGATAAGGGCAGACATAGAGACCAATGGAATAGATTTGAGAATCCAAAAATAAACCCAAACACCTGTGGCTAACTGATTTTTAACAAAGGTGCTAACACTATTCAATGGGAGAAAGAATAGTCTTTTCAACAAATGGTGCTGGGACAAATGGACCATCATATGCAAAATAATGAAGTTGGATCCCTGCCTCATATTACATAGAGAAACTAAACCAAAATGGATCAACACTATATATATAATAGCTGAAACAATAAAGCTCTATGAAGAAGGCCTAGGGATGGATCTTTATGATGTTGGATTTGGCAATAAATTCTTAGATTTCACACCAAAAGCACGATAAACAAAAGAAAAAATTGATAATCTCAACTCACGAAAATAAAAAAGTTTTGTCCATCAAAGGACATCATTTAGAATCCATAATATATAAACAACTCAACAACAAAAAGATAACCTAGTTTTAAAAACGGACAGCCAAGAACTAATATGTAAGATGGAAAAGGAGGAGGATCCTAAGGTCACTCTGTCCCATGCATACAACTAGATAACACCCACATCAGTGCAAATAACCCAGAGAATTATCCTAAGACTGGCAGAACAGACTGTCCATGGCTATATGTAGAGAAGAGGGTAGGAAGGGTGGATACACAACTGGGAGCCAAATTGACCAATGTGAAGGATCCACGGGAATGATGCTGCAGGCAGGAAGAAGAGTGGAGAGGAAAAGACCCCACTCCAGGCAACCCAGACATGGGGGACTTGTACTGGAAAGATGAATCCCTATAACATTTGGCTTTGAAAACCAGAAGGACTGGAACTTTAAAAATCAGCAGGCTTGGTGCTGAGAGAGCTGGAGGACAAAAGGAAACTGACTCCCTTCCCTTAAAGAGAGCACAACAAGCAGCTCTGATGAGATACAACATAGAAGCAGCAGTTTGAAAAATGCCTAGGACACACAGGAAGGAGATTTACTAATCTCAAAGCCTGTGTTGGAGGAGCAGGGATCTTTGGGAGACTTCTCCAGCAAGAGAAGAGCTGGCAGCAAGGAAACCTGTGGGAAACAGTGTAGCACAAACACTCTCCACCTAGCTTGCTAACAGGGTGCCCTACCCCTGCACTCTTCTGTACAGCCAGCCCCTCCTGTGGTAGACTGGCATGGACCTGGCTGGCACTCCTGTCTCCATGCTCTCCTGCAGACCTGAAGGAGTCCCTCCAAATCAGTACCACAAGGGTGGAAGCGTGTAAGCAGCTCCGCCAAGGACCAGCACCACTCTAAAATGACTCATGCCCCAGGGAAAGGGGAGGATAAATCACACACACCAGTCTGTGGCTCCAGCAGTGGGCTGCAAGCAGACATCTGTTCTGACTGCAGGTTCTGCCCACCAATGAAAGCTTCTCAGGGGCAACACAGGGAAAGTACCTTGCAGATTGGTGCTACCAAAGCTCTGGCAAACACCTGGTCTAACTTAACTCAAGCCCAAGGTGGCCTAGACTAACACCACAAGCACCAAACTCTGCCCACAACAGGCAAAGAGAGACACCACAGATAACTGGACTGAAGGCAAACATGGCTTAGTCACAAATAGGATGCAAATAACACACATAGGAGACATCCCTGAAGTGTTAGCTTCTGGTGAACTGAGGACACTGCACTGTAGGGCATTATAAGACCTCTTCTTCATATGCCACTACTTTTAAGAGTAGGAAATATAGATGAATTTCCTAACACATAGAAACAGACACAGAATTTAGTCAAAATGAAGAGACAGAGGGCTATGTACCAAATGAGAAAACAGGACAAAAATTCCAGCAAGACAGCTAAACAAAATGGAAATAAGTAACATGCTTGATAAAGAATTTAAAGTAACAGTCATAAAGACAGTCACTGGACTTAAGAGTGGAAGGCCTTAGCGAGAAAGTCTCAACAAAGAGAAAATATAAAGAACAATCACAGATGACTACCTCAATTAGTTGAAATTCAAAACACAGTAGAGGTAATAAACAGACTAAAAAAAGTGAAAGAATAGATCAGCAATCTGAAGAGGAGAGCAAGGGAAAACAATCAAGCAGAAAAATGTGACGAGATTAAGGGAACTTCGCAATACCTAGTATAGTAACATTCACATTATAGGGATCCCAGAAGGAGAGAGAGAGAAAAGGAGGCAGAAAATTTATTGAAGAAATAATAAAACTTCACGAATCTAGGGAAGGAAACAGAAATACAGATCTAGGAGGCACAGAAAGTCCCCAACAAAATCAATCCAAGGAGGCCCATACCAAGAAAAAAAGCACAGTAATTAAAATGGCAAAGAGTGATAAAGACAGAATTTTAAAAGCAGCAAAAGAAAGGGAAACAGTTATATACAAGGGAAACCCCCAAAAGCTATCAGCGGACTTTTCAGCACAAATTTTGCAGACCAGAAGGGAGAGGCAGGATCTACTGAAAATGCTGAAAGAATAAAACCTTGCAACCAAGAATACTCTATCCAGCAAGCCATCATTCACAATGGAAGGAGAGAGAGTTTCCTTGACACACAGAAGTTAAAGGAATTCATCACCACTACACCAGCCTTACAAGAAATGTGTAAGAAATGTTAAAGGGGACTCTCTGAGTGGAAAGGAAAGAATATAAGCAGGAGTAAGAAAAGTAGGAAGCATAAGAAAATGGACAAAGGATGTGAATAGACAGTTCTCAAAAGAAGGTATATATACAATGGCCAACAAATCCATGGAAAGATGTTCAACATCTTGGTCATTAAGAAAATACAAATGAAAACCACAAAGCGGTATCACTTCACACACATTAGGATAGATGTTTTTTTTTTTTTTTTTAAAGTAGGCTTCATGCCCAGCACAGAGCCCAACATGGGGCTTGAACTCATGACCTGAGATCAAGACCTGAGCTGAGATTAAGAGTCAGATGCTTAACTGAGTAACCCAGGCACCCCCATTAAGATATTTTTAATTAAAAAAGAAACACATGAAAAATAACAAGTGTTGATGAGAACATGGGAAAACAGAGACCCTTATCCATTGTGGTGAGACTGTAAAATGGTGTATCCGCTGTGGAAAACCAGTTTGGTATTTCCTACAAACAGGTAACAGAGAAATACCACTCAATCCAGCTACTCAACTCCTAGATACATAAACAAGAAAAATAAAAATTTATGCATATACAGAAACTGGTACATGAATGTTTACATGTTTTGGCATCATTATTCATAATAGCCAAGGAAGAGACAATAGTACATGCTACAACTTGGATGAACCTTGAAAACATTATGCTAAGTATGCTAAGTAAAAGAAGTCAGACATGAAGGTCATATATTGCATGATTCCTTTCATATGAAATATCTAGAATAGGCAAATGGATGCAGATAGAAAGTAAAGGGTATCAGGTGATAGTGGAAGGAGAAAATAGGAAATATTACATAATAGGTAGAAGGATATCGAAACAGTTTTGAAACAAGAGAGCTGAAGGTTGCATAACATTATGCATATACTAAATACCACTGAATTGTGCATTTAAAATGATTAATTGTATGCTACACAAATTTCACCTCAATTTAAAAAAAGATAGCAATATTAAAATGTTCTCATGTTCTGACAACATCTACTTCATAGCAAACTTCTACTTCCTTAGACTCTCTCCAAAATTACCAAACCAAAGTCCAATCGCATAATAGGTTCCTTCTACTTGCCTCTTAATAAAACACCCAAAGGTTCCCTATAAATACGTGTAGAACCTCTCACTGCAACAAGTATAAAAAACTGTAAGTGTTTTTGTTGGTCTTTTTGGCTGGAAGGCACTAATGGGACTAACAACTAATTCCTCAACAGAATAAAAGAAGCCCAAACACAAAGGGATAATATTGTAGTTAAAATAAAACAACTGCGTACCCTGAATTCTAACCAGTGAAAAAAATATCATTCGAAAGTGAAGGTGAAACACAGAACATGACAAGACAACAAAAACTGACAATTCTCAGCACAGGTGTTCTTCAAAACAAGGAAGTGATTACAGATGGGAGAACTGAAGGTGCAGGAAGGAATAGAAAGCAATAAAAAAGGTTACTATGTGGGTAAATCTAAGAAAAATGACATAAAACAATGATATCTTATGATATCATATATCTTAAAACATATATGAAGTTAAAAATACGTAAGTATTATAAGAAATAAATTGAAACGGGGAGGAAATTAATGGAATTCAAGTGTTTTAGTTTTCTTGTATTGTCTGGAAAATATAAAATAACTTAATTAGACTCTCATAGGTGAACAATGCATGTCGCAAACTCTAGGGCAGCCGTTCTCAAAAGTGTAATCTATAGGCCTCTAGGGATCCCTAAACCTTCTTAGGGATTCGTTAAACTCACAATTATTGTCATAATAACACGAAGATCTTATTTGCCTTTTTCATTCCCATTCTCTCAAAACTGTACAATGGAGTTGTCCAGAGTCTACAGGACTCATGATACTCCAACAGATTAAAGCAGAAGCATGTATAAGAATCCAGCTGTTTTCTATTAAGCCAGATATGAAAGAAATGTGCAAAAATGTAAAACAATGCTATTCTTCCCACTTTGTTTTGGAAAGTATATTCTTCGCAAAATTATGTTATTTATGTTGACATTTAATGGGAAACTCTTCCTCCAAACAATGAATTATCTGACCGAAAATGTCAACTGTGCTAAGGCTGAGAAACACTGATAGAACCAAATAAAGTTCTTTTTAAGAGTTTAAGCGGGTCTTGAGACCACAGAATTTGAGATTCCTGACCTAAATAAATGAAGGATGATATCATATTCATGGACTGGAAGACAATACCATAAAGATGTCAACTCTATCTCAAAATAATGAATAAATTCAATTTTTGTAAAACTGACCATGTAACTGTAAAAATTTATACGGAAGCACAAAAAGTCAAGAAGAACAAGGTAAAAAGACCTGCCTTACTAAATATAAAGACTTGCTAATGCCACATAAATTAAAACAGCATGATTTTAGTGTAAGGGTAGATAAAGTAAGCCAGTGGAAAATAAAATAGAGCCCAAAAACAGACCCGCATATATATGGTCACTTTACAGATGACAAAGGTGAACCTGTAGAGCAGTGAGGAGACAATCTTTTCAATAAATGGTGCTGCATAAAATGCATATCCCTAATGAAACAAAAAAGGTGACCTCTATACATTAATCCAGTTGATCCTTGAACAACATGGGTTTGAATGGCAAAGGGGTCCACTTATACATGAACTTTTTTCAGTAAATATAGTATAGCACTACAAGTATATTTTTCTTATGGTTTTCTTAGTAACATTTTCTTTTCACTAGCTTACTTTATTATAAAAATGTAGTGTATATATATATATATATATACACTATATATAGTATATGTATATTATATATGTGTAATACATATACAAAGTATGTGTTAAGTGACTATTTTATTTTAATAAGGCTTCCAATCAACAGTAGGCTATTAGTAGCTAAGTTTTTTGGGAGTCAAAAGTTATTATATAGTAATTTTCTACGATGCAGGGGTCAGTGCCCCAAAATGCCATGTTGTTAAAGAGTCAAGTGTTTACAGAATCAGTTCTAAAGTCTCTAGGACAGTGCTTTACAACCTCAGCACTAGTGACACTCTGGGCTAGATAACTGTTTTGTGCATTAAAGGATGTTTAGCTTTCTGTGCACTGTAAGATGCTTTGCAAGCATCCCTGGCCAACCCGCTAGACACCAGGAATACTCCACTCAGCTAGTTGCGAAAACTAAAAATGTCTCTGAACATTACCAAACTTCCCGCACAGGGGTAGAAGGTGTGTGGTGAGGAAAGGGAAAATTGCCGCTAGTTAAGAACCACTGTTCTAGAAGATAACATAAGAGATGTCTTCATCTCCTTGGAGTAGGGAAAGATTTTCTTAAACAGAATGTAAGAAGCATCGACTATAATGGAAAACTGTGATAAAATGAATTACATTAAAATTAAGACCTTCCTTTCATCAAAAATATTAATAGTAGGGAAAAAATCAAGGCAAAATGGGACACATTTTTCTAACAAACTTAACTAAATGAAGGTCTTGTATCTAGCACATATAAAACCAGGGGCTACTGGGTGGCTCAGTTGGTCAAGCATCTAACTTTGGCTCAGGTTATGATCTCACAGTTTGTGAGTTCAAGCCCCACGTCAGGCTCCATGCTGACAGCTCGGAGCCTAGAGCCTGCTTTGGATTCTGTGTCTC